TCAATCAAGGAACCAACTTTCCAAATGAAGTTACCCTCAGGCACATTTCCCGAGGCGGGGGTTCTCTGACCCTGCTCCCTTCGAAGCGTCACACAGGGCTCATAACCTGTTGAACAATGAAAAGTTGGTCAGACCGGGGATTGAACCCGGGTCATCCCATATGCGCTGGGAGGTGTTACCACTACACCATCCAACCGATACTAGAGTGTGAATTCTACAGATTCCAACACTCGCAGAGCAGGTGAAATTCCGGTATTGGCGTCTGGGTCTATGGGTTTCTGCATATCGGGAATGCGAGTATCTGGGTACACAGACCTCCTGTCCGTCCCTGCAAGTAGAATGGATGACTCGAACGACGTCGAATAAGCACTCGGCACCTGCATATCTCCTGGCACACAGGCGGTGATAATGCGATGCTTCTCTAATCCCAAACTTAGCGCCCAACAAGGGGCCACCCATTGGAGTAGAGAGATTGGTAGAGAAGATCAGGCGGCGGTCCGGGCTCGGAACAGCAGTGTAGGAGGGGAGGGTTATGTGTGAGTTACACAGGTTGTACGGTACCTCCAGGTCGTGCGTAATCCATGAATATCGTCGCAGCCGATAGTCGTAAATGGGTATGTAGTATGTTTGGGGGCTAATGTCATGGTAGACAGAGAGGTCGAGAAACGGGGAAGTAGAGGGGACGGCACGGAGGATCAATAGAGCGAACCCAGGCACCACACAACGTAAATGAGTCCAACTAAGCCCATGGTCGGCGTCGACAAGCGTGCGGCGGCGCCGACGGAGCCTGTGGAACCGGAAGAGCTGGAGTCCTGGAACAGCGGCACAGCTTCTCCAATCGTAGCATTCAGGCAGTTTAGGAGGTTGGTGTCGATGCCAGAAGGGAGGGGGGGAGGAGTCGTCTCGTTGCCTGCCAACGCAGCTGTATTGTTGTATCCATCAAGCGTTAGAGCGACGCTACTCGCGCGATAGTACTGGATCGCTTGTTCGGGTAGGGGGTCAGTCGCGGAACCATTGAAAGGCGAAGGGATTGTCGACGAGTTGGATGCGACTGTGCAATTCATGGTGATAGACCCAATCAGCGAGAACACCGTACTGTTGTCAGAAACAATGTGGAAAGTCGTGTTCGTCGAATTTGAGAAAAACGCGGCCTGTGCCATAGGACCGCCTGGTCGACTCGAGTTATTGGGTTCTCCATACTGAAAGGGTGTCACGTTCCTCTGTGAGTAGCCGAAGGCTATGTTTGTCACGCGGCTTACCTCGTGATTATCATGCAGGTACGCTGCGCCATACCCCAGCCCGCCGCCCCAGATTAGAGGCCAGTAAACGAAGGGGAAGCCACGGCTGGCTACCCCAAGACCTGATAAACCAGGGTAACCGCTACCGTAGTAGCTACACAAGCGAAGACACAGTCCAAGTCAGCCTCGATGCCGTAGGGACAGAGATTGCACGCATCCGCACCTGTTCCCATAGATTGAATCGCGGGTGGCTCCTCCTGAGGTACGTCCAGCGAAAGGCTGTCCCTGGGGGATAGTAACAGCTTTTGTTGTGCCAGAGCCGTACGCGACTGCCCCCGTCCGTCCGCCTGTGGATCCAGAGACGGGAACAGTTGCTCCCCGGCTCCCTACGCTGCTGCCCGAGGGAGAGCCATCGCTATCGACTGGCATCAGCATCGGTGCTGCCTGACGAACTAGAACTTCCTGACCTTCCTTCTGAACCTGATGAGCCGGTTTTCCCCCCTCCACTTTTGCCCCCACTTCCTCCGCCCCTTCCACCTCCACCCCTTCGTGGGTACAGCCGCTGGCTCAATTCGGTCGCTCCTGGTAAGTACATGAAGGATAGGGGGGTTGTTCAGCTAGTTGTATGATGGAACGGGTCAGAATTTGAACGAGTTGCTGTACCCGACAGCAGGGTATTATACGGGTCTACGGATATCGAGATGGGGAGTGGTGGCAGTAGCGGGTCTCAAGGTGGTGAGCCACCCTTTGACAGAAGCATCGCCACTGTACACACGCCCCACGGCACCCCGGCAATTGGCCTCAGCGTCACGGCGCCTCGTGGCACACATACCCGAACCTTTCTCCCTGGGCCATCAGGACCCCCGGCAATAGACCCAAATGTATGATCCAAAATCCTTGAATCCGGCCAAAATTGTCCGATGGATCAGGCCTTGTCTGAGGCCAAATTCGTCCGGATTTGACCAGGCCTCCCGATTTTCGCTCAAATTTGGCCGGACTCTGGATCAGGCCATCGGGAGGTCCAAAATTGTCCGGATTCGCTGGATCAGGCCTCCTGAAAGCAGATTTTCGTCGGGGACCGCTGTAACCATGCTGATATTGACTACAGGAGTGGGATAGCATGCAGGAGAGGTCGTAGATAGAGGTATAATGTAAGGACGCAAGGAGGAGCTCGCATACGGCACTCTAGATGTCCGGCACTACATTCACCGAAAAGTGTACGAAGGGTCTCGTTCGGAGGATCTTCGCTGAATGCATGTGAGGCCTTCTGAGAGGTGAGTGCCGATGGACGAGGGGGAAGATCTGTGCAGAGCAAATGCAGCACGGAAGTGTGGGGGTTGGGCATGAGGGTGTTGTATTTCGGGGGGATGGTAAGAGCGGCCTGACGTGCAGCGAGGATGAAGGGTGGTGTCTCAAGAGCAGGGTATGTCTTTGCGCAGGCAATCCATTCAGATGGAACGAAGGTTCGTGTGTCGCTGCTGGGAGGGTCGTCATCGGAGATGAATATAGTTGAGCTTCTAGACATAGGGATTATAGCGAGCAGTATTAAGTGACGGCGTAGGCTAGCAATAGCTCGTTTGTCTTCTTGCGATTCGAAATGCTCCTGACGTTGTC